TGTGTGTGTGTGTGTGTGTGTGTGTTATTTTGTGTTTTCTTCTGTTTTGATATGCTGTTTTTTTAAAGAAAAATTAATTGCTTTTCATCCTGCCGTGTTTATGATTTGTTTGAAGCAAGCAGAATGAGAGTTTGAACATGCAGGGGCAAACAGTAAATCAGAAAACTGCTTTGATTTTGACACGAGCGCTGACGAGACTGAGTGAAGACTCACGGTGTCCCGTGGGAATGGTGAGGAACTAGGGTAAAGGGATGCACGGTACTTACTATTTTTATTCCTTCTTTATGAATCGTAACTAACACTACTGCTTTTATAGAGACAGCGGAAACTAGTTAGGCTATGTGCTGCTTGAGTTTGAGTTGTTGTTTGGGATTGGGTTTTTTTTACTTGTAAGGAGAAGCACATTAACATTATACTGGCCATATTGTGCAGGGGAGAAGCGAGACCCGTATAGACAGAAACAACAGAGGGGAAAGGAAAGAATAAGGACCTTAACCTGGGGAGAAATAAGGAACAAGATTACAGAAACGGTTATACAAGGATGTTGCTTGTATACATGTATGAAATCTTTGTAACTCTCATGCATTATTGATACATGTTGCAGATTATATGAGTTTGTAAATCATGTGTTTTTGTGTGTGTGTGTGTGTGTGTGTGTGTGTGTGTGTGTGTGTGTGTGTGTCTGTGCGAGTGTGTGCGTGTGTGTGTGTGTGTATGCGTATGTGTATGAGAGAGAGAGAGAGAGAGAGAGAGAGAGAGAGAGAGAGAGCTAGAGAGCATAAGTGGGAGATACCAAAGCACAACAGAAACATTTGCGCACCAAGAACCTATACAATGTACAAACATTCAATATTCATATGTTGTGGTGTTTTCTGAATAATATGGAATCCTGTACATTTACAATTTTACTCCTGTATGATATTAGAACTTCTATCACCTGTGCATCTTGTAAATACACATATGTATTTCTACATTTATTATATTTTATTGTAAATTATTTTATTAACACAGATGTTGATGTTGGAAAGAAGAAAATAACTCTCGAAGTAAAAGTCCTTTTTCATATCCTGTCCTTATGAAACCTTGTTACTGTTGTTTAGAAAAAAAATGATATTGCGTGATTTGCATCTTGTACTTTTTTTAATCCAATGTTTGCTGACTTCTTCCGAGAAGCGATTGCTTACTGATTTTATATCCAATGTCTACACTTCTTTTTATTTCCTTACCAAACGAAAGTTTGTCTGTTTCTTGGGCCTTCCATAACTCAGAAGTTAAATTAGCACTGAAAACTAAACAAAATCGTATTTCTATTCTTGGCACCCAGTGCTGATGGGAGAACGAACGAGTTTGTGACTATTTCTCTCTCACTTTCTGTTTTTTGTTATATTTTCCAAAGACTACCTCCGATCAACCTGTCTTACCAACCCTTAGAGAAAATTAACCGCGCCTTTCCGTTCCTCTAAGTCTAAGTTCCAGCATTCTGCTAGACTCCTCCTTCCACCCACTTTCACCCATTTATTTTTCGAAGTGTCTTCTTTGTTAAAAAAGGAACAGTGATGTGGCTATGACAGAGACAGTACCACCACGATGGGTGAACGTTTTAGTAATCCGTAAAAAGAACAACCTCATAAAAAGCGGAAAACTCTTCAGGCACTCCATAGTACTGGAAGTAACGACCCTTGAAGCCCTGAAATACCCAACCTTAAACCTCATGTCTGCGACATTGAATTAATGTCTTCGTGGGTTTATTTTCCACGGTTCATTTGAACTCTACTTTACCTAGACAATTACCGCTTAACCTGTGCTATCTATCTATCTATTTATCTATCGATCTATCTATCTATCTATTTATCTATCTATCTATCTATCTATCTACCTAACCTATCTATC